TTTTATTAAATAAGTTTTAATTCAGCCGACTTTGAACACATCAGCTCCATCTTTAGAAGTAACTGAAAAGCTTTCAAATCCAAAATTAGTATATTTACAGTATTATCCTAAAATCCACAGCAGACTGTAAAACAGGAGAAAAGGATTATATTACAAAATATCTAAGTTTCCATCATCGTCATAATGACACACTTCTGTCAACACAAACCTTTGCAGAAACAGCAAACGTAACTTCTTTCAGGAGTATTGAAATAAACTATTATTTATAGTTTTTCACTTAAAATCAAAAATATTCTAAATTAGAGTCAGACACCAATGCATAAATTACCAACTTCCTCATCTGTGCTACCAGTTCCTAGTTCCCTTTATTCTGTTTGGCTATAGTAGTAAATAAAAATAAAGGTAGAAGTTGCTCTGAAGAAAAGCGTTTCTAATGAATGACGGTCTAATTTAACTGTTATTTTACTGACTGAACGTTTCAGGATCTGCGTCCTGCAGACTTTAAACATCTTTTTATTTTGCCAGAGTTAATTAAAATGTCTAAAATAAAGCGAGGTAAGCAGAGTGACATGTGGGTGAGACTTTTGAATGTTTTTTTCCCCTTCCTGTTTTTTTTTAGTTTCAGGTGTTGATACAAGAAAATTTCAGCCATTGCTGTTTTAATTGATTCCCTAAAACTAATGAAACTAAAATCATAAATTATCTCTGCACACTCCAACTTTCTTATCTGTGCTTTGATACCCAGCCCTCTTTATTCTGTTTGACTGTAATTGTATGGTCAGACACATATAATTTAAAAACTAGAAGGTGTTTTTAGTAAAAGTATTTCTACGACTGACAGTCCAAAATAACGGAAAACTGAACTTGTAAAGACCAGCTGGTGTTAAATTGTGTTTTTCATTATATTGGCCTGTCAGATGGTGACTGGCCAACTGCAGACTTTCAACATATTTGTTTTCATTAAAAGCTAATTAAGATGTCTAAAATAAAGCCTCATAAGCAGATTATGTGTTTTTTAAAAAGTAATTCTTGCCATATTCATTTTTTTTGTTCCCTCTATTGATGCAATAAGAACTTGGCTGGTGCTTTTATAAATCAATAATCAAAATCTATTGAGCTCAATGTGATTTTAAAATGTATGATTGTCTGCACAGAGTTATAGCTTCATTTTTTTTATCATGTCCTAAATATGTCTTTGTGATTTGTAACAGTCTGTGTGCAATTGTAAAGCATCTTATTCTAAAACCTGCTGAATGTCACCATGATATTAAACCATATTCTGATTTCAGATTGTACAAAGCATAGCTGGATGTGGTTCAGCTTCTGTGAAGTCATTCACATGTAAAACCTGTTTTCTTACTAGCACTGGTAGGTTCTTACGGTTAAAACAGCAGGACTTTCTGCCTTTTCTTCTTAAGATGAAATATTGGTTGTTTTTAATCTGACACACTGAATCTGATATATTAGATATATTCTGCAGTCACAGTTCAATATTGAAATATTATTTAGAGATTAAATTCATTAGGGAGGAAAATATTGACACAGTTCAAACACCAAAAATACCTTAATGTGTGTTAAGAGAAGATAACGTCCGTAGTCGTTCTAAGTCTGCTGTTGGGAGTTCAGCCAATCAGCAACAAGGAAAATAAACGATGCTCCTGCATTGGCTGCTTACAAATGCATGTCAAGTAGCGTTGCAGCGAGATATTTAGGTTTGTCTGCATTGTTGAGCCTGTTTACAAAAAATATTTTTGCCTTACATAATATTAAAATTTTCTGAAAACCTGAGTTTTCGAAGCCGTGATCCACCCACTCGTCATTTATACCTGCAGTTCTGCACGTACAGCCATGAATGCACACGGCCATTATCCTCAGCGTAACTAGCTGTGTTTCCCAACACAGGTACATTACCGTGCATGTTAGACATTTACTGATTCAGATGACTGCAGTGCAGTAACAACCAGCTGGTTGAGTTTTTCCTGAACTTCAGGTGTGAAGAATCTATACAAAATGTTCCAATAGTTGAACTGCTGCAGCATGAACGACATGGACGTTTTAAAGACTGAAGGTGAAGAAAGACCTAAACAAGCCCATCAACAAAGTTTAACACTAGAAACATCCATCAGCGATGAACAAAAGCATAAAGCAGATTTAACAGTCCCGCTAAACTCTCAGCAGTTTGAACTGATTTTATACAATGTTTACAAAATGTTTGGTGAAATCCTCTCCTACTGATTTACACAGAATGTGAAGGAAACCTGTGGTTTTCTCATCAACTTAATGGTTAGTTCTAGCTCCTGTTTAAAAAGCACCATTGTCTTTTTGTTAAATCATTGACCAGAGCATGCAGGATGTTACTCATGTTTCAGACAATTGTTGTGTCACTGTACGGAACCATTACTTGGCTTGTTTACATCCTTAGCACTTCCTGTTCAACAACACAAACAATAAAAAGGCAAACGGGTCAGACAGATCTGTATCAATTAAAAAAATTAAAATCTCTGAAAGTTTAAGCTACACAAATTTCCCTGTTGTCTCTGTGCTGTTTGCATTAAGTTACTGCTTCAATATTTGCAATAAGCTTGCAGAAAGTCAGTACAGAGGAAAAGCTGCACTATCATCTAATCTATAAATCACAGAGCGGATTTTGAGTGTCTACGCTTTCTTGAGAAAACAATAAGACCGAAACTGCTCGTAATTTTTCAGATTAACTGCATTCTTCTCAGGCCCTGCATAGAAAATGCCTTCATTATAAAAGAGCTGCAACCTGTGGAAGAAAAACAAACGCAGCTCAATTCCTTTCCTCTCCTCCCAGCGCAGCATTCAGTCTCTATAATAAACCGACTCCTGCTCCCTCTGTGCCATCTCTACTCTCTGCTTGTCCACGCCAAAACGATTTGGAAACAGATACGTGATTTTTAACTGGAGTGTCAGTCTGCTTGTACACTGTTATTCCTTCTATTAGGTAGCCCAGCTGCAGCGCTGCCTGTGTTAGGGAAAAGACAGACTATCATAGGATGAATGAAACCCACCAGCATGTTGCTCCAGCTGAATTGAGGTTCATGGTGTAAATAAAATAAAGAATATGTCTCTTTAAAGTTAAATTATCCTTCTAAGAATATCCTAAGCTCAAGGTTTCTCCAAGAAAATGCCAGCTTAGCAGGTCTTTCCCAGTGTATTATAAGCCTGGTGGGCCACCAGGCTTTACTTGTGCCCCCACCAGGCTTAGCAGTGTTAATTTAGCTTAGTTTTTTTATTATTATTATTATTGCTGTTTAGGTATTAATCTTCCAGTCTTCCAAAAACACATAACTATCAGGTGATATTTTAAAATTTCCTGTCAACTTTAAACAATTTTTAGCTCAAAAACATGGCGGCAGGCTGGATGAATGACTGCCTGAGCGCCCAGAGTCTGGGAAAGTGTATGTTAGCTGTAATTACGAGCTTTCTGGGCAATCATGACGCGACATGGGAGGAGTTTTCCTACTAAATGTTGAGCAACCCTGACTACTGAAATGTGAAATATTAAAAAGATGCAGACAAACGAGGCTGATCATGAAATAATCGAGTTTCTTTGTGTGGATCTACTTGCTTTTAATTGCCTGTCCCTTTGGTGCTGTTGCACAGAAATTTTTCACATAGATTCTATTGATTTATTATTTCATAAAGCATTATTTTTTTTATCTTGCCACTAAAAAAAAAAAAAAAACCTCGCTCCCACTGGTGACTCGGTGAGAAAAAATGCTGCACAACAAATTATTCAAGTGAGTATACAACTATGGAAAAACGAATAGCCCACTCCCCTGAACTCCCTTGAAAACCTGCTGGTTATTCCACCAAATATTGGTTTCTGAACTCTTCCTGAGTTAAAACATTAGTGTTACTGTTTCTAAATCAATATAAACTTGTTTTCTTTGCATTATCTGAGGTCTGAAAGCACTGCATCATTTTTGTTATTTTAACCATTTCTAATTTTCTGAAAATAAAAACTAAATTTTTGCTTGGAATTTCAGAGACATGTCAGCAGTTTATAGAATAAAAAAAACAATATTCATTTAATCAAATATATACCTATAAAGGGTAAAAATCAGAGAAACTGGTCATTTTAAGTGGTATATTATGTTTTGTCCAGAGCTGCATATATTCTAACATTGCTTTATTACTTTAACCAACAGTTTCTGTTAAACTGCAATTTACATGTATTTTTATATTTCTCAGAAACTAAATTTTAGGTTTTCCATAATAATTATAAAATATAAATACACACTTGACATATAATTACTTTGTGTGTAATAAATCAGTCAAATTAATAGATTTGTCACTTACAGGAACTTGAACTTAAAACAGATTGTGTGGATCCCACGGAGTCCCGACCACAATGACATGCGCCTTGAGTCATAAACTGCTGCTTGTGGTCAAAGCTCTGACACAGCATTTACACAAAATAGTCTTCAAATCTTATTTAACATAATTATAGATTAACATAAGCAGTCAGAGGTACGCAGATTAGCCAATTTGAGGCAGTTAACATACCTCAAATTAGAGGAAATCTTTATAGGAACTGAGATTCGGTGCTTTGAAACAGATTGTTTACAAAATGAGTGATTTGATCATGCGCCGATCCGAGTGACACACATACCCACATAGTTTCAAGATTTCCTGATAGTTTTTTTTTTTTATCTCATTGCCTCTGTATTTCTCAGGAACAGCCGCTTTTCGGGGTAAAGGTGAGCAGAGGAAGGTGTGGTCAAGAGATAAGAGAAACGTTACTCCACAGGTTTTAAACAAACAAACAAAAACAAAAAACTAATCTGAGCTACAGTTATTAAACACTGTATATCGGAAACTAGAACAGAACTAAACGAAACCAAACAAAAACAACTTATATTCTCAAACACCGGCAGACATAAACAAGCTCAGAGTCACCGAGTCTCTCCTGCAGCCAGCCTGTCGGACTCTCTTCACAAACAGAACAACTTGACATTTACAGCAACACTCACCCAAAACACGCAGGCGTAGGAGAACAAGATGAACTTCAGGACCGCGTAGCCAAATCTTTGAGAGCTGCAGCTTCCAGCCATTGTCCCTGAGACAGAGGAGCGCGGAGTGTAAGACCCAAAGGCTGCCGTGTCCCTCTCTGTTGACAACAGCTCACTTCCGGGTTGACATCGCTGCCACACCTGCACGCGCTGCTGCTGAATGGTTGGCCCTGAAATACAGGTGCAGCTCAGTCTGCTGTAATATAAGAGAGCGGATTTATTTCACTAAATCCGCTGGAAAGGTGAAACTCTTGACGGTAATGTTGATGCTTACTAAAAACAAAGTTCACACTCTCAAATAAAATCACTGCAAATACACGAAAGTAGATACAGGAGCTTGTTTTACTAGTTCGGCTGGCAGATTATTTCACTTTTCATATTTGAAAAATGTCTTGTTATAATTTAAATAATCTGCCGATTGAACTGATTATTTTTAATAAATATAAAGGAATAATTGACTTAAAACAAGCTCATATCTTCATGAAAGAATCTTATCTCGAGTACTAGTTGTACCAGAAACTAGACAAAAATACTTTGTAAGATTTTGTGTTTTTGAATGTTCTGTGCATAATTTAGATTTTTAAAACTAAATCCAAGAAGTAAAATTTGCTTTTCAATAAAATTACAGAACTGTCCCTTCAGTTCAACCTACTAAAATGTATTTCCGTTTACAGGACGTTTGGTTGCAGTTAGGATCCTGAATTAAAGAGGGCTAAATCCAGGCTAAAAACAGCTGGATTTCATATTATGGACGCCTATTTTATAAATAATTAAATATTTAAGATTTGTTCTGCAGTTCAATTTCGGTGTTGGGTTCTGAATGGATGTGAAGTTGTAAACAACTTATAGTTATTAAATAATATTGTTATTTAATAATATTATTGTTATTTAATATTTATTTAACTTTACGTTTTTCTGTTTAATGTTGTTGGTTGATCTATTTTTCTACTCATCTGCTCCATAAAAGAGATTTTTACAGTTTGTTTTTATGAATAGTGACAAAAACAGTCTGAATCCCTCCCACAAGTTGTTTCTCCGTTGCTTCTTGTTTCCCTGTGGGATCTCCGACTTCCGGTGTTGAAGAATTTCCGACTGGGAAGTTGGCATTTCCTATTTCTGAGTAGAACTGGAATGCATCGTGAGTTCTGTCGTCTCTGCAGCGAAAAATGTCTCCACCACCAGATTCACCGGCTTAGAAAATATTATTCTTTTTGTAAACATCAATAAAGACATCAACAACACATTTTTGCAATTTGCCGACTTTTTTCTTATTTTTTTTGTGTCTCTGATGATTTGAAGCAGGCTGTAATTGAAAAGACACAGTCAAAGCAAATAAACTGCTTTTTTAGTAATAATATTCAACTGTAATTGCATTGTTGAGGCTTTTTCAACCCTACGTAATTTTTGCATGAATCCTGCATCCATTTGCTTTCTATCATTTCTGCATTTTCTATGAAGAAGTGTGTTAATTTGTCGCATATAATCAAATTAAGTTTGTCAAACTTACATTATTTACGTTTATTTAATATGACAACTTAATCAACTTAATAAATGTATTTGTATAGATTTAATTTTATTATCTATTATTATTGTGAGTGGAATCAACTAACTCACTCACTCTTTGGTTACCTAGTAACCGAGTTACTTGTGGTAACCTAGCAACAGCCTGTTGAGTAACTGGCGCAGGCGCAGCAGCCACTTCGCCAAATAACTGCTTAAAAATGAACGGCAACGGTGTGGAGTGAAAACTGTGGATAAAACAGGAAACATTTAGTAGCATTTCAGATATTTAAAATAAAAAACTAAACAGCAATTATCGAAATAAACTGACATGAATACGGCTGTTTTTCAGCCGTATTCATGTATTCATATTCTAAAGTAAAATAACTTTGATAATATAGAAGTGAGTGCTTTTTAACTAGGTTTTTATTTGCATGTTGTGAAACAACTATTTGGTTTAAATAGCATTTTTAAGGCAGCAGGTGGATGTTCATTTTTAATTTAAACCATCTTCAAATGTTTTACAGTGCTGTTGATGTTCGAGGAAAACAGGCAGAGTGTTTTGATATTAATGAAAATCAACAGTATGTAAAATACTGTCTCTAAATTCACTCCATCTCACACCTTGAAATAGCTGGGCTACAGCAGCAGAGGAGTTTACATGGAAACAAAGGCTGTATTCACAGGCTCACCAAAATTGGACAGCAACAGCTTGAGGAAAAATCCCCACCACCCCGGCAAAGACTATCTCAGAAAAACACACTGAGTGAGTTTTGATGCAAACTGCCAAAGCTTTCATTTCTTCTCCCCTCCATATTGGCCTTGGCCCTGCAACCCATGTGAAAGTGCCACATGCTGCACATACTGTACACACAGAGACAGAAAAAGTGCAGTCAGCTAAATTTTCCTTCTTCCCTTCGGAGAAAGAGCAGACCTAGGAATTACAAAAAAGTGGCAGCTTGGTGACAATCATGGGAATAGAAAACAGAAAAGAGAGAGAAGGGAGTAAAAGTGGTTAGAGACAGGTACCATCAGACTGTTTGTTCTGCAGGACATGAAACACAAGAGACTGTTTTTAAAACGGCATCACTCCAGCTGCAGCGCCACGATCCACAGCCAGGTCCCATTACACCATTATTATGTGAGCACTCAGTATTCATAGGTTAGATTACAGCCGTCTTCAAACCCGGCTGTCATTTGGGTCCCAGTTTCATTCCTGAGAGGTTTCCTCACCTGCACAGTTGTGACACTTTGATGTTGACAATGAGTGGTGATAAAAACTCTCCAGTGACAAAACATTTTAGCTTTTTAAGCTCCTGTGGCGGCACCGTAATGGTACGGTAGCAAATGTAACATTTAAAGTATCTCGTGTCCAGATTAAAGCTGCAGTATGTAACTTTTATAAAACTTGTCATGACAGATAATCTGTGAAAAGATCGATCTCCTCCAATTCCTCCCTGAGCTGCTACTGTCGTCAGAAGAAATGCACCGCTCCGGACCAAAAACAACCAATCAGAGTCAGGAAGAGGGACTTAGAGCTGTCAGTCAAACTCATGTACTCGCTGCTAAATGTGGAAATGGCTGAGCAACAACGTACTGTTACAGGAATTTATCTGTCCTCATGGGTGGGTATGCTAATGAGCTAACAGGCTATGCTAGCTGCAGCAGAAAAAGGTAATTGGGAGGGAGGATGAGCAGCGCCACACAAGACTGTGATTGACACCGCTAAGACCCGTCTTCTTGCTTGATTGGTTGCTTCTAGTTGGGAGAAATCAAAGGAGCTCAATTGTTTCACAGATTATCTGTCTCATACTTTACAGTCACAGCATAGTAACAGTTTGAACAAATATGTAAAAAATATACTTTTTTAAATGAAAGTTACATCATGAAGCTTTAATAACAAAGGATCAGGAGCATTTAGGATGCTCTGAATCTCAAAATAAAAGTTTCAGGGCTTAATTTTGATTCTAACAACCAACTTTAAATTAAAACAGAGGATTTCTGAAATAATCAAACAGTCCCAACTCTCGCCGAACTGGAAACAGTTTGAAGGATTGAAGTTGTTTGTCTCCAGATTAAGGAAGGCCACAGCGTCGCACAGATGTTTGACGTCTCGAAAGGTGAGTAAATGGGTCACACCAGGTCCGAATTTTAATTCTGACAACAGAAAAAAAGGGAAAGATTTTAAGCTGAAAGTTTCCATTAGAGGAGTAGGAGAGAATTAAAGCCTTGCTGGAACTTTATCAAATACACAAGCAGAAATAATTTATCAAAACAGTTTAACCTGCTAGTCAGGTTTATTTGTATTCCATACTTCAGTAACATGGCAGTTTAAAATGCTTGTCATCATAAAAACACCAAAAATACAAAGTCATAAAACACACCACACAGCCAAGAACTCAGAAAAACAGTAATAAACATTATATTTTGATGAAAATCATCAAAATGATCAATACCCACCACTGGACAGTACAGCTGATGGCTAGCTGGACAGCGCAGGTCAAAGTTCACGTCTGAGTAAGAATCGGTACTGACTGCTGTGGAGAGACGTGTGCAGCAGGTTAGCTGCTGGTTGAAGGTATTTTATCGTTGCCATGGTTACATCTAAATTAACAATGGCTGAGGCTTGTAAACAGAGAACTGATGATGTGTTCTCCTTCCAGGAGAAATTAAAAAAGTGAATCAGAAAAATAAAAAAGAAAGAAAACACAGCAGCCAATTCAGCCAAAAACCAATACAAAAGCAATTTTCAAGCCATCTCTTGCTATTCTTCTTAATTTTCTTAACATCTCTCCAAACTTTATATCTTTTTTTTTGTCTTCTTGCTTGATTCAAAAAGGCTGGGTAAGAGAAAAGGAACCGATTTTCAAAGATTATAGGAGGGTGAGGGTTTTAATGTTTCTGTGTAAAATAAAAGAAGCACTTTAAAAGTTATTTAACTCCTAAATAATCCAAAGGTTCCTGGATAACAAGGATAACAATATGTTTACAGAGTTTTATAACATATGTGGATGTTTTCTGTATGTATATAACTAGTAAAGTAATTGTGATGGGACTAAGAAACAACATATTTAACACAGAAGTTAACTTTCTGGGTTTTATTGAGTAAAATAAATATTTAGAGACGTTGGCGCTCATGTAGAGATTCACAGATGGAAAGATACCACTGCCCCTGACAAATACATAAAACAGATTTATGTTGCTTAGATTGTGCTGATGAGGTCACCAAGAAAGATACAAGAATGTAAAAGAAAGTAAAACTTATCATCTTTAGAAACAAAAGTTCAGTTTCTCCTAGACTTTGAAATGCACAGTAGTTTAGTCTGTCAGAGAGACAACAAGCTGAGAAAAGAGACTTTTATTTAAAAATAAAAAGGTTTTCAACTAATAATTTTTTTATATTATTCAGCTTAATTTAAAAAAAAAATATTAACATAATACAAACTTTTAGCATAAAAGGGGAAACCAATAGAAAAGTCAAGATGGGTCCAGAATTAGATAAACATAAACAAAACATACTAATAGACTAAGCAAAAAATAGAGTTAAATATATTAAAATGCATAAATAAACTAAATAGTTCAAAGAAAGCTGAAGCTACAGGTGGATGAATGACATTGTGTGACATCATGCCATGTGAAGGTGCAATCAGAGAGGAATGCATCGCAGCGCCAACGTCTGGTCCGACAGAGTAACGCTGAAAATGTCCTCCACATTTCTGAAGAAAACATTTTTTTCCTTTTTGCTACAGGGAGGCTCAGAGCTTTGCAGCCACATCCTAAAAACACGGTGATAATAGAAATGTTGAGTTTAACAGCACTATTTTTAACTCCATGTTTGCTTCAGGAATCCAACTCTGGTGAGCAGAGAGAGTCTTTATTCCATAGAGGCAAACCAAAATGTCCAGAAAACAGGCCGATTACGCTAAGCTGGAAAGAAGCAAAATTAATTTACTGAATGTCCTTCTGCAGCATCGCATCCATCACCATAGTAGAGACATTCATCTGTCCTGGTTTCTCTCTGCACCATAAGCAAGACTTTTAATTTATGCATCTTCTAGCCAACTGTGCGAGGTTTGTAAAGTTTGCTCCCACAGTAAAACACCGACCCAAAACGAAGAGTCATAAAAATGAGGTTCTGTTTGTGATTGATGTGTTTTGCTCTCCAACATCTCTTACTGTTTAAAACTAAAATATCTTGTGGAAGACAGCATCTGAAACCAAAAGTTTACAAACCAATAAACGACACACACACCAACATGTCTCTAGTTAGAATTACCAAAATAATTTCAGAGATTTATTTACTACTGCCTTCACAATCAGAGTCTACTGTCTCTTAAAAGGCTAAATTGTCATGATGTGTGGTTTTTGAAACAAATAGGAACTGGAAATTATCACTGGAAACGTATGTAGAGACACAAACTTAAAAATGATTTTAGCAGGAACAAACGAGGGGAAACATGAAATGAGTGAACGAGAGAAGGAGGTTAAATAGTGAGGGATGAGTGGAAATGAAAAAAGAGCTAATTATAGGTGAGTGGATGCAGCTGGGGTAGAGAAAAACAAGGAAACGATAAATAAGTTTTCATTTCTCCCTTCTTTTCAGACAGAGTGGTAAACAAATAATTTTGTTCTTGGTTATATATGCACATGTTTTTCTCTGATTTTCTTAAAACCTGTTTGAAATAAATAAATTAAATGATTGATTAAAATAAAAACAGCGAAGAAGGTGTAAAGAGTGTCAGGCTGAAGGTGAAGTGAAAGATAAACAAGAAAAGTGGAAACACCTGGACCTGAAATAAACATTAAAGAGAAAAAACATGAAGCATGTAACATAAAGATGAAAATATGGGAAAAGAAAGAAACAGAAAGTGTTTGGGGAGTATTCCTCGAATGAACACCAATAGTTTAAACGTTATTGAAAGATTCTAGTTTAGCTAGAAAAGATCCTAGTTACCTTCTCTACCTTGTCTCAGTTTTTAGCCTTTATCTGCAAATAAAAGTGTAAAAACTTATAAACGTAAAGCTCAAAGGAAACAAGCATTCATGCAGTTTTAATAACTCAAACACACAAACCTGGACAGCAATCAAAAGAATTGATCCAAAGCTCAAACAATGCTAAAGGTAAGGAATAACATAAAACACATGCATGCAGATTACACTGAGGTTTGCTTCAAGCCCTAAAAAGAGTCTTATCACGCTCTTTGTATGCTGAGTGAGTAATCTTCTTCTGCTGACTTAAATATTATTATTATTATTATTATTATTATTATTATTATTATTATTAAATATTTAACTAGACACAATTAATGGAGCTAAAATCTCCTCACAGCTCTTGTGTGATATATCGAATGTAAACATCTGAAATGCCATTCATTCCCACATTCACACTTTGGGAGCCGGCTGATGACACTTTCTCCCCGTGGTTTTTGCTCTGTGCGCGTGGATTAAGCCTCAGCGCACGCGGCTCTGCGCCGCAATGTCCGCGCGTCTCGCAGTGGAGGAGCGCGTCAAAGCTTGTAACACATTCCAGCAGAGAGAAAGCGAGAGACGCAGAGCCGGCGTGTTTGTGCGAGAGCGGGAAGAAATGCATGAATGAATTCTTGGTCAGACCTGAGTGCCCATTACGCACATGGCGTTTCGTTTTCCACCGTTATCAGCTATGGAGCGGAACATCTGGGGTTAGTTCTCACGATATAATCGGGCTACGGAGAGGTAAGACAGATAACACTAAGAATGTGTTTTTATGTGTTTGAGTCTTTGCTGCAGACATCCACTTTCTGCACAAACTGGAAAATTAAATTTTTTTTATGTGTTTTAGATCAAACAAAGAGGAACAGTTTCTAATAATAAACAAATAACAGGGAAAACCATTTAAAAATACAATTAGACTATTAACTTCACAAATAAATTGTGGCATGTTTATTATCCGAATTTATTATTTTAATTTAAATAAAGACAGGAGTGTGATGGATGAACACAGACCATTTCTCTAAATCATTTTAAAGACTGAAATATTTGTTGCATGCAAGAAAGATAAATTGCAACGTGAATTTGGATTCCTGAAGCCGTTCATTTCCTAATGAGAGCTCCTTCATGAGGACGGGCTGTCCGCCACCCATTGTTCCTCATTACGCACAGCAAACTCGCTGTTATCCATAAACTTTCTGCCACCAGGTGACAGAGGGAGTGAGAATGGATGCCGAGAGTCTTATTAAACACTTCCAGCGAGACCCGGAGGCCACTTTAATGCCGCTGTCAGTCACCTCTGACTGGCTGGACGACGGAAACGAGACCACCGGGAACCAGTTCCAGCAGCCCGACTGGCAGGTGAGAGAGGACGCAATGAGTGAATGAGTGATTCATCAAGAAGTCAAATTATTTCAATATTTCCGTTCAAAAAGTAAAGACAGAGTGTTGATGACTCAAATTAGTTCCTCGAATGATTGTTGAGACTAATAAAAAAATAATTTTTAATAGAAATTGTCTGAAATAGACAGGTGATGATGTAGCAAATATCCTGCTTCTTTTTCAATGTTATGTTGTTGTTTCACTCAACTTTCCACTAACAGGCTAGTAACCAGTTGATCAGCTGGTTTGTGACGTCACTGTCGTATTGCGCGGTTTTGTAGGTGGTCCAAAATGCAGACGGGAACTTGGAAACATTTTTAATGGAGAGGCAAACTTAAAGATACCTGGATGGTTGCAAATAATAACACATGAAAATCCAACAGAAGGAGCCAGCGGAGAATAATGAGGTTAATAAACAGACAAAAATGCTAATAATGATAAAAAAAAACCCTCAAAAAAAATTCTAATTACACACTGTAAAAAAAGAATCTGATTTAAAGAAAAATACCAGCAGAATTTTATCATATTTATACAGTAAAAACCTTGTAAATATGGATATAAATACAGATTTTACCATATTTATATTGTTAAGTTCTGGCAACCACAGTTGCTGGTATTTTACCGTAAATTGGAAAAAAAAAAATTTTTACAGTGCAGGTAAATGAATGCAGCTGGGGAAGGGAGCAAAGGAAAAGGGTGAGTGTAAAAACAGACAAAAAGAAAATGGAGGGAGAGAAAGGAAATCTGTACAGAAAGAGAAATAAAACTAAATCTGACAGAACAAATCCCAAAAATATCAAACAATAAGAAAAAAATGAACTAACACAAGGAATTAGCTAAAATGGGAAGATATAAGAAAATAATAAAGACCAAAACAGAAAATAACTGAACTAAAATGTCCAAACAACAACAGTTAATAATCATTCATTATTTCTGTGTTAAGATGTATATTTTAGGATCTTGGATTGTTTGAACTTGGTTTTGTCATTTTTTGTGTTCCTTAGTTTTCATTTCTACTTCAGCTCTTCCTTGGCTAGCTCTGGGTTCAAGTTTATTCCTTGTCCCTCTGGTTTAATCATTCTATTTATTTACTCACTCTGTGTGCCTCCTGCTCCCTTCACTCACACCTGCAACCCATTAGCTCATCAGCCTCTGTCCTTTGTCTCAACATTCAGCCTCCCAGTAGTTAAGCTTCTCATTTTCGGCTGCCCCTTGCCGGATCCTTTCGTCTAACTTCACTTCCTCGTTCCACTCCGTGTCCTCCTCGTGCTCCTTTACCTGGTTGTTCATTGCATCTATTATTGATCTTTTTCTCTGGCTCCTTTGTTTCTTTGTAAGTTTTTGACGTTTTGTCATTAAATGATATTCAGTCGCCACCTCCGTCTCTGCATTTGGGTCCAACATCAATCATTTAACACATCATGACAGGATAATATTTTAATTTTAAAAATAACTGAATTTGCAAATTCATTAAAAGTAGCAGAAATAATCACTTCATATCACATTGTGTGTGTTAAAAACACAAATTAAGTCGATTTACTGAAATAAATACACTTTCTGATGATCTTCTAATTTATCTGGATTTGTCTGAAAGAGGCAGATTGTAACTGATAATGGTTCAACTCTTCGTTTCCCAGTGTTCTCCTGATCATCTTCCTCCTCCTCTTCCTCTCAGGTGGCTCTGTGGGCCATCGCCTACTCCCTCATCATCCTGGTGTCCATCACCGGGAACGTCACGGTAATCTGGATCATCCTGGCTCACAGACGCATGAGGACTGTAACCAACTACTTCATCGTCAACCTGGCCTTTTCGGATGCCTCCATGGCAACGTTTAACACCCTCTTCAACTTCGTCTATGCGCTTCACAATGACTGGTACTTCGGCCTGGGCTACTGCAGATTTCAGAACTTCTTCCCCATCATGGCCATGTTTTCATCAATATACTCAATGGCTGCCATCTCAGTGGACAGGTGAGATAATATGTAAACTATCAGCTCATTCATGCTTGTCGATGTGCCATAATAAAAGCACTTGGTCTCTTTTTGGTAATGTGGGAGCTGCTTTGTTAGTAGACATACACTGCAAAAACACAAAATCTAACCAAGTAGTTTCTAGTGCAAATATATCAAAACAAAATTCAGTGTCTCAAAGAAAAATCACTGCAAAAACACAAAGTCTTAAGTATTTTTGTCTAGGGTAAATATCTTAGTACACTTGAAATACAACAAAACTAACTAACAAGTAACTTTTCAGCAAGAAATAAGATCTTATTTTAAGTTAATAATTCCTTTGTATTGATGAAAAAGCCCTAGCTACATTGGAAGATTAATTTACGTATAATATGGGAAAAATGCCTTGTAAGTGAAATAATCTGCCAGTGGAACAAATACTTTTTCATCCATATTAAGGAATTATTTACTTAAAAAAAGCTCCTATGTCTTCCTGAAAAGTTTCTTGTAAGTTAGTTTTGTCTTATTTCAAGTGCACTAAGTCATTTACACTAGAAACTAGACCAAAATACTTGGTAAGATTTTATATTTTTGCAGTGACATCAGCCGACTAAAAACTACTTCCATGTACTTTACAGTATGCTTGGCTACAGATGTGTTAGGATCCTCAATTAAAGTGGAATAAACCCAGGACAAAAACAGATGAGTTTCATATTGTGGGGGGTTAGTTTATAAGTAATTAGATTTTTAAATCTTGATATTAGTGACATAATCTGTCAATGGAGAACTTTTACATCAAAATCAAGGAATTGTTTACTTAACACAAGCCTCTGCACCTTGCTGAAAAGTTACCTTTAAGTTAGTTTTGTCTTACTAGAAACTAGACAAAAATACTTGGTAAGATTTTGCTTTTTTTTGTGTCAACAATGGCAAACAATTTTACTCGAAAGTGCAAAATTGAATTGGGAAAAAACAACCCACATAAAAACTAGCTACGTTCTTTTGCTTCTTTTCTCATTTGTTTTGCTCATAATGCAGAATTTCACTGCAAATCAAAGCTTTATTTTTTAAATGTTGGCATTCGAGGCAACTGGAACATATTAGATTTATGAAGAAGCAGCCTTTTCATTTTTCACATTTTCTTCTTAGATCACATAGCACCTCTTTGTGAAAATCATTTAGTTACACTTTATGAGCAGAATCACTTGAAATTATGTTAAGCAGCAGCCATACAAACTAAGCTGCAGCATGGAGGAGATGTGGGTCAACACACAGCTGCAACACAGATGTTATTAATGCTTACTGAAGCGTGGATGGTCAGTCTGCTGATGGTGAGTCTGTGCTCTCTGTATCGCCTATGCGTTCCAAGTTACAACTTTAAATTCACTGCAGAGTAAAGGTTCATATTTTTATTTAATTCTGTGTGTTTTCCCAGAACTAATTCACACCAAATTTTGTCTGAAGGAACCTCACTAAAGAACAGCTAGACAGTAAATAAATAATAATATATACGGTGATAGGCACGCGGTCAATATCAAACATCTGCTACAATATTCAATATGGGATATTTATTAAATTCTGATCCAGAACCGCACAGCATTCTGGGAGATGTAGGCAAAAGGAAAGACTTTAGCCACTCAAACTCTCGCGTCCAGCTAAGCTAGGTTGGTGGAATCAACTCACTCTCTCACTCTTCTGTTACCTAGCAACTCACTCACTCTTTGGTTGCCTAGCAACGACTTGTTTGGTAACTGGCACAAATAAAAAGCAGTTTCGGGTTTTGCCACAGGTGGCTCATATCTGCTTAAAAATAAAAACACAACAGTGTGGAATGAAAACTGTGGATAAAAGAGGAAAGGTCATGCTACCAGTTTGGCAGTACTTCAGATATTTAAAACAAAAAGCTAATCAATTATTATTGATAGTAACTGATATGAAATGCTTACACTGTGGTATGTTTTTCAGCCATATTGTCCAGCCCTATCTGGGAGTTTGAAAAGAAAGAACATAAATACAACAAACATGGATGCCTTGTTTCAGAAGTACTTTCTATGTTAGATTTATGCAGCTAAAAGTGACCTTACATTTAATCTGCCACTCTTTAAATTGCAGAGTTAAAGTCAACATTATTTGTGTTATTTTGCTGAAACCAACCCTGGGTCAAATATGAACAAATCCAGATTTAACTCAACAAGCGTTGTTCTATACATTTGACTCAATACTGAGTTAGAGTTTCTCTCCAAAAAAATGGCTTAAAGTTAAAATGAATGTTCCAGAGCTGCAGGCCTCTGTCTCCAGCAGGCAATTAAATAGGTAGGGTGCACTATGGATGGGGCATCCCAGGGAAAATGATGGTGCACTTTCACCCTGGGGCAATTTATAGAGGCCACTGACAAACAGTTGAATGTGGGAAACAAAATTAATGGTCAACATAAAATCCTCGACCACTTTCTTGGTTCTTTTTAATTTCAGAGCTGCCCTCATTGTTTGTGGCAGACATTTAACAAGATGCCTCTAACGTTCCTCAGAGGTTCTGGTCCATTTTGACTTCATGGTATCATAGAGTTGCTACAGATTTGTCAGCTGGACATCCATGACACCGATGTCTACTTCCACCACATCCCAAAGGTGTTTGATTGTATTTATAGTTGTGGATTTCTTAATACGGGGAACCCTTTGTTATGATCAGGAAACCAGTTTAAGTGGACTGGTGGAAGCAATCATCAGATGATGGGTAGGCTGTGGCCGTAAAGAGATAGAGATGGTTAGCAGCAATACTCAGTTGTGGTGTTGCTCTAAGGGATAATAACAATGACCATGTACAAATATGCCACACACTATTACACCACTACAGACTGAATTACCGACATATGACAGGATGGATCTATGATTGGTTTTCTGATTTTCTGGCCCATTCTGATCCCACTATCTGAATGATGCAGCTGAAATTGAGACTCATAAAACCAGGCAGCGTTTTTCTAATCTGTTTTTTCCAGTTTTGATTAACCCGTGTGTGAAGCTGTTTTTACTCCTTTAAGCCACTTTTGCTTCTGGCCAGACTTGAAAAGGTTTGCTTCCTCCAGAAAGACAATTCAACTCAGCAACATTTTCTTACTCATCTGTTTTCTTTTGGGATGAGTCTTGCCAGCAGGGTAACAGAGACAAAAACCCCCACTAAACATCAGAAATAACAATAAGCTCATTTTGATTTTTAATATCTAACTAGTTTCTTAAGTCATTTTTTAAATAATTTACTTTTGACTAAACAGTGAATGAAACCAGTAAACAAACTAAAGCATATTAGTAATGTGTTCAAACACATTGAATCAAGCAATCAGAAAAAAATTAGTTTCCTGAATTAAACATGAAACCATGTAAATTTTGAATGTCCATTACTACAAGTTTGTTCTTCCTGGTAAAATAAAGTAATTTCTTTCCACCGTCGCCATATTCTTACTGAAAGAGGAGGGATTGGTGCAAAATTAGTGACTCAGTGGAATTGGTTGGGTTTCTGATTGATAACTTGATAATTTCCAGGATTTTACTGCACTGGTTTGCAAGTTGTACCAAACTGGCTCTGAATAAAACATAATTTCAACATCTTTATATGACGGAACTGATCTAATGATACAAATGATTTTCAGGGGAGTTTCAGGTGAAACGTCTTTAGATTTTTTTTTCTTTAGTTAAATAAACTCTCATACAATTTAACTGAATTAACTCAACAGCCTGGGTTACAATGTTTGATTAAAACTGTCCAACTCCAATCCCTTCAGAAAAAAAGTAGCATATAGGTTAGAGACTTAACATTTTTTATGGTGTAAAGGTTTGAACTCTTGACAGCATGGTAGACTCTGTATTTATTAGAAGTAGAATATTTTGTCAAGGAGAGAAAAACAGAGTGCTTTTTTTAATGGTTCAGAGCACATGTGAGATGGAAAAAAAGACTGGATGATTTACAGTAGAAAGTGTTTCTTACAGAAAAACAAGGAAGAGTCAGAGTGTCTACAACAGGAACTGTCACGTTCGGCACATTTTAAACTGAAATATTGTAAACCAAGTGCTAAACCCCGGCTTTAGTATCCCGTTTTGGAAAAGACCAAAAGGCCATGAATGAAAAGATTTTTATAACAATGTTTCAAGACAATGAAGATGGTTCTCATAATCTCTGAAGTATGAACAAAGTTTCAAGATTTTGGATGAACATATCTGGAGAAAAAAACTAAATTCTCATACCTCAAAAGCATTGCAAAGTCAAGAGTTAAAAAGGTTTCTTCAAGAGGTAAGAGCAACTTATTCAAGCTGAAAATGTTACACCAAGAAGCAACCAGCAAACCAAACTACCGTCATTCACTCAGGGATAATTGTCATGTTGGTATTCACTTTTCGTACCCACATGCAAGAACACAACCAGAAGAGTCAGAGTAAGTGAACAATAATAATGAGTTTATTGATTCCAGGGGAGAGGGGAAGGGAATGAGTACTGGAGCGGATGACCGGGTCGTCTTACTGTCAACGAGAAGCAGAGGGTTAGTGGAGGAAGGTGAGTGTTTTTCCAGGAATGAATCGAACTGGTTCTTACCTGATCTGAAGGTGAGTAATAGAGAGCCGAGTGCTGGATAATCGAGCCTCGTCGGAGGGCGGACAGGTTTGCTTGCGGCGGAAAGAGCGGAGTACGACTTGGTCCAGTTCCTTTTCTCCAGATTGGGTTCGGGCCAGGACCGACAGATCCTCTGCGTCCCGAAGGGGAATCCACTGGAGACGGACCGAAGACTGGGGAAGGTGAACACACGAGGGGTGCCGTCCGACCGGCAACGTCGAGGGAGGACACATGAGGAAGGTAACTCACAGACAGCGAGGATCAAGAGCTCATTCTGAGCCCAGGGCTGACGGCACACAAAGGAACAGCGAGGCGGCAACAGGATAACCAAGGTAAGCTAACACTCAGGCGATGAGAAGTCGTTCAGCCGCTGCTTATATCTGCAATCCACGCCCTCCAAACAAGCTACAGGTGTGGCCACGGGGTTACCCCTGCAGCTTCTCAGGGGCTCTGCATCTGGTGACATCTAGTGGATGCCCAGAAGAATGATGGTGCTCCAACAAAAATAAAACTCAAACCAAATGAGTGAAGACGCTCCAGCACAACACAAAAATGGCTGATTTTCACACTTTAATCTTCTAGTCATCTTGATCTGAATGCACAATTAGATTTTTGGTTATCCAAAGACAAAACAGAAATGATCACTTTTGATCTCGACCAAATCTCATCACAATAATTTCATGCTCTGCCGGTCTCAGCCTCCATAGATTTAAGCATGAAGCCAGTCCTTTATTGGAACACGTTTAATTTATCTAAAACAACAGTGCAAAGTATTTTAAAATGTGCTTAGATTGAATGTTTTTATTAAGACACTTCAAGCACACTTTAAAAATAAATTATATGTAGTTTTGAATTATTCTTTAATCACAGCGGCAGTCCACTTTCTCCAGGGAGAAAACCCCATTATTCTCATGATTTTTACATAATAGGACTCCTCAAATAGAGTTATTATTCAGCCAGGTTAAAGAGTGACATCCAAGCAGAATGTAAAAGAAAAGAAGCCAAAGATTATGAAAAGCAAGAAAAACACATGAAAACACACAATCACAGCTGCTGAATGCCTTGAAGAAGGATGTTAAAAACATGTCGTCTTTATGCAAATCAAATTATGCAATATCTCACCTCATTAGTCATGAAACACTCACGCTGTCTGCCCTGAATGGTTCAGATGTGTGATTCACAGGCTTAGCCTAATGATTAGACGATGGCGATGACACCACTGAGTAATCCTGTTTTGCTGAAAACGTCTAGTATTCTTCTTAATTTTCACAATATACATTGTTCTGACCTCTTTACATGATAAGTATAATTTGCATCATTGGTGACTTATTTACAATTATATGTTAAGCATAACTGATTTTTATTAAAATTATTCACTGAATTTAACATGATTGTACGTAATTACAAAAAGGTGAAGTGCAACATATTTAAGCATGATTTATTTTGGAGAGAGGAAGTCTTTTATTTTGAAGAATACTTAACAGGATCTAGTTTTGTTTTTCGTCACTATCTTGCCTTCGGTTGCTAGGATACGAACAGCCGTTGCCTTTATCTGCTGTCGCCGTTGTTTGTTCAATAAAAACGGGACAGAAAATGTTCAGCGAAACACGTGAAGAAACTTTTTCTCCTTAATGTACACTGTAAAGCAAAACGTCTCTAATAGCGGCAGCTGTGCTTATGTGCTTACAGAATTTTACCGTATATATACGCATTTTTACCGTCCTTTACGTATAAATACGGATTTTTACTGCGTTTGTACGGTGAAATTCTGACGTATATACGGATTTCACCGTATTTAAACGCCAGAATAGGGATGTTCTTCTGGCTCTGGGCCTTGGACGGTTGGCACATACCCTCCGCCTAAACGTTGTCAGGACTAGCAATCCATACTGCCGTTGAAAATAACTGTGTGTGACCATTTTGTCTGTAGATTGGATTATGTTGTGTTATTGCTGCAATGTCAGCTGGTTAGGACATACCCAGAGGGAGGCAATCAGGTTTCATTCGTAACCGTCTGCAAAACAAACCTGCTTTTCATTCCCTGTCTCTACTACAGATGTTAACGCCATCCAGTGTAGCACATTCCTTTTAAAATTTGATTTTGTGGTGTTATAGCCCATTTCTCCTTCTTTATAAACTTAGCACCAAAAGCTTGAAAGTTGTTCCTTACTAATGCCCTTTATCCATCTTTATACTTTTTCACACATCACAAACACAAAGTTTGATATATTTTGTTGTGATTTTCTGTGTTGGACCAAAACACAGTAGTAAGTAAGATTAAGATTTGTGGAGAACAGGACTAATTGTCCTGTCAACAGATTTACACCACCTAGAGTCACCATGCCATTGCCTGGCCTGTTAATTTATATGCCATATTTTAGGAGTTTTGCATTTGCAGCTGCAGTTTTTCAATTAACTTGAGGGAGTGATTGTAATTAAATGTCTGTCCAGACAGAATATAGTCTTTAGGGAATCCTGTTTCTTACTTTAAAATAATTATTTCCTCTGGTTCTTTTAAAGGTACATGGCGATCATCCACCCGCTGAAGCCTCGCCTCTCCTCCACCTCCACAAAGGTGGTGATTGCCCTGATTTGGATTGTGGCCTTCTCGCTGGCTTTCCCTCAGTGCTACTACAGCGTAACAACATTTTACTACCCCAGGACGGTGTGCATGGTCGACTGGCCGGATGATTACGGAGGAACCCACCAGCTAAGGTGAAAGAGGGAGACAAATGAAAAACACACACAGGGAGCATCAGAGTCAGATTTCTATGTGTGTTTTATGTATTTATGCACAGGATTTAGAGGGTGTCCGAGGGTTTGGTTTCTTTTTCTGTGTGCATGTCAATTGCCTCTCTACTTCCTCTATATGCAGAGGTGGGTAGAATACCTCAAAATGGTATTCAAGAAAGAGTAGCACTACTTCCACATGTTTTTACTCAAGTAAAAGTAAAAAGTAGCTGTCCAAGAAATAAGACTAAAAAGTATTTGGTAAAAAGTCTCCTAAAGTCCTGAGTAACTGATAATTTAATATTAAAAAATTACATCTTCAGACAGACCAAATTATGAGGTTAAGAGGACATTTTGGTAGTTTAAAGAACCAAAATGTCAATATATAAGTAGCAAAAATTAACAAAATTAGATAAAAGAAAACATTTTTTCCCAATAAGTTTCTTTCAATAAAAAACTTGTGAAACTTTAACAGAAACTGCAGTTGTGTCTTTTTCTGGTGATTTTCTTTTTTTGGTTAAAACATGTTTATTTTTCATTCAGTGGGTAGAAAATCCAGAAATTTTACTCAATTAAGAGTAACACTAAAATAAAAAGTAAACAGTAGCCATCCAAGAAATTACCGAAGAATAAAAGACTATTTGGTAAAAAGTCTACTCAAGTACTGAGCAATCGATCAAATTATCAGTAATTTAATGTTTAAAAATTACATCATCAAACAGAACAAAATCTGAAGTTAAGTTAAATCTTCAGTATTTTAAGGACCAAAATGACAATAATCCATATAACTAACAAAAAATAACTAAATCGGGTATTTTTCTTTTTCCCCAATCAGTTTCTTTCAGTAAAAAACGTGCAGGTGTGTCTGGTGAATTTTTGGTTAAAACATGTTTGTTCTTCATTCACTGGGTAGAAAATACAGAAATTTTACTCAAGTAAGAGTAAAAAATACTTCATAATAAAATTACTCAAGTAAGAGTAATGCGCACAGTGTTGTAAAAATACTCCTGTTAGTACTTTTCCAGGTAAATGTAAGTGAGTAACAGTTGTTACGTCAATCCGCGTTTCCCCATCAGATACGGTTCCCCCTTCGTCTTCTTGCCGCTCCGCCCCGCCCACGCGGCAAAATAGGCGCGTGCTCGTGATGAGCACTGAGAAAGCACGCGCGTGGCAAGCACGCGCTTGTTCGGCGCGCTTGTCT